CCCCCCCCCCCCCCCCCCCCCGATTCACCAGCCTACTGCTGTGGCAGGAGAATCTGGAAGAGAGAGGAGCAATGATTCTATCTGTTACAAACAGAACATGCATAAAAATAAATCAAGATTATGGTTAGCATGTCTGCACTGATATGTTGAATGACAGGGCAAGGTTCTGTATTCTTATTTTCACTTAGCAATAGCCCTTTCACCATGCTTATTTGCAAAATATTTTATTGTACTAATAGCAAATTACTTATTTCTTTTTCTTCCCTTTCTTTAGGCATTTATGCATTTGGACTTTTTGCCACAGACATATTTGTAAATGCTGGACAAGTAGTAACTGGGAATCTTGCGCCTCATTTCCTTGCACTTTGCAAACCCAACTACACAGCTCTGGGATGTCAGCAGTTTACACAGTTCATCAGTGGTGCAGAGGCTTGCTCTGGAAATCCTGATCTTATCATGAGAGCCCGAAAAACTTTTCCATCCAAAGAAGCAGCTCTGAGTATATATGCAGCAACATACGTGGCTGTAAGTAAATCAGGCAATTGTGTTCAGGTTGTTGGCCTTTTCCCCAGTTGACTTCAACTTGTTGTAGACAATTCCCACAAGCTTTGCCCAGCCATCATTGCAGCAGTGGGAAACCTGCCTTCATTCTTGTTACATAGGTGCAGCAGTGGCCAGATGATGATATAAGTCACTTGTGAAGAAATGGCCTGTATCAGGCATATTGACTTTGGAACAGTTTAAGTCGGTTTCACTTGTGCAGATGTTCCAGACTGGGGATGGTGATGTGATTGACATTATGGCTATGTATTTCTCTCCTCCAGGGTTTGCACATTCTGTAGTTTATGTCATCCACAGAATCTTTGACCCTACTTTGGGTTCACGCATGGCTCTTTCAGTGTTCAGCTCTCCAGATTCATCGCTTAGGTAACTCAAGATGTCTTAAGAGCCGAATGACCACGTTTTTTTTTTTTCATATGACGTTTTCTCTTTTAAAATCTTAATTTCCAATGCATGCTCTTTGGAGAAGAGAATGAGGGCAATACCACTCCACTTACCACTTAAAATCTCAAACAGCTGCAAAGGGCTAAATATTACTTTTTGATAGCACTGCCTGCTGTTTCAACTTCAAATGATATGTAATAATTAACCCTGTGTAAAGTGGCCTTTGTTTGTCTCAGTGAGGCACTTTGCATTGGGGAGGCGATGTTGGGCTCAGCGAGGCACAGAAGCAATGCTGTTTGCCTTGAGGATGCACTGAAGCAGTCTTACTCACTCTGGTGGGACATCAAGGTGATGTTCTTCTCGCTGAGTGCTTTGTTTCTCCCTGACAGCTTCCTCCAACCCATACAATAGGCAGATAGCAGGGGAGGCTTCAAAAACATTGCAACAATTTCATTTTGCTTTTTTTGAAGGAGACAGCCATGTTGCTTTGTGAAGGAGGTTCAGAAAGTGGCTTCAAAGCTTTGCATATTGTTATCCTTCCAGAGGGTTGCACAGCATTGCTGCAAGAATCCAATAAATGTTATAAAGATAAGGAAGAAGCATACCTAGAGGGCACCTTGATCGCAATCTCACCCAGCCCTATGCTTGATATCCAGAGAAGGAAGAATCTCCTGTGAATATTTCTCTATCCACTGTTAAAAAATCCTGGTATAGTGGAGCTGAGCATTTCTCATATCTGACTCATGGGCTGTGTGTGGCCCCTTGCAGTTGGCTCTGTGTCCTATTGCAGATACAGTACAGTCATCCCAACTTCATGGCAGCCTGCCTGATAGCATTGTAGTGTTGAGGAGAGAAGCTTCCCCACCATGATAGAAGGTAGCCTGTCAATGAACAGATCAGTCAGCTGACAAAGTGAATGTGGTGAAAGGCTATGTGTATATCTGTGTGCGTATATATAAAATACTGAAAGTTCAGTTACATGTATTATCATATCCTGTTCCTTACTTTCGTTAAAATGTTAAGGATAAATATCATTGTTCTTCCCTTTGTTCTTACATTTCTACATAAAGGTAAACTACAAATCTTTAATCAAGCCACTTGTTTACTTTTTATTTTTTAACAATTGGGATTTATGATTTTGGCTGGCATTGGTATCTAAGCAAATTATTGTCATTGGTGGGATCTAATCTTGGTGGTCTGGCTATCAGGCCATTCACTTAATCTGGGCAAACAAGATACACTTTGGCTTAAGTGTACCCTTTCAACTGCACTGTAGGCAAGGAAACTTGTTATTTTTCTTTCCTATTCCAAAGGAGTAAAGAACTGGTGTGTGGGTGTGTGTGGGTGTTTGACCGCTACGTTGGCTAAGTTGGCAATCAAGTATCAGCTTAGGAAGACTTCTTTGCAGTCTTGGAAGTAGGAGAAGGAGCCTGCTGAGATTATTCTGACCCACCTATCTGGGCATTCTCAAGGTTGAAAGGAAGGCTGAAGTTCTACAGGAGATTTGTGGAGTCCTTGGCAGCCTATCAGAATGATTGATAGTGTGACAGAACAGGTCACAATTCATACAGAGAAGCTCTTGACGCTTCACTAACAGCTACATTATTGAATTCACTATAAGCAGAATAATGGATGAATAAGACTATGTTAAGTCCAAGGGTATGATCTGAAAATCCATGCTGTAACAACCTTGCAGATGTAAAACAAGTCTGATTTTGTCAATAACTAATATTTCGGAAACTTCTGCAAAAGCTTGGTGAAAGAACCACAGGATATAACTATAATAAATAAAGACTGATAAAAATATGCACAGTTGGTAATAAACTCGCTACTAATGTTTTTCTCATTTCAATTTCTATGGGTATATAGTCTGTAAAGATATAGAATGGGAGGTCATATCTTGGATATATAAAGTAAAAAATCTTTGATGCCTGTGACCGTTTGCTGAGGGAGAGTGAGTGCATGTAATAAAAGCTTTTGAGATCCCTGGCATTAGAACAATCCTTTGCTCAAGAAATTCCAGCCAGATCTATTCTGTGCAATTCTGACAAATGTAGATGTTCCTGTTTCAGAGCATAAGCCCTCTGTAGCAGGTATCTGTTATCTTAAGTCTGTGGCTTGTATACCAGAAGCAGGCAGAAAATACTCAGTTTATTTCAAGGACTGGATTTGGCATAGTATGCTGGATCACTTGTAATTAAATCTGCTGTGATTATAACAACATGCAAATCTTGCTTAAATTACTTATCATTGCACCTAGGTTCATTTTTGAATTAGTTTTTCATATGAATTTAAATAATTGACTAAAATACATAAGGAGAGATAAGATCATGCATTTGTTGCAAATTAAGCAGGGGAATATTTTATCCTGTCAAAAAGAATTTTCTTCTTGCTGCCCCATTAATGCTCACGCTTGGTTAGCAGAAAGAAAGATACACATCTTTTCCTTTTTTCTGCTGATGTGGTTTTATGTGGAGTCCCAGTTATCATCTAATTCTTCTGCATGAGTGAAAAACAGCCTTGGCAGGCTGACTTGACCACATTGATGTTGACATCAGGGGGTCTTTTAAACATCCAGAGCAACATGATTACACGTCATTAGTTTGATACATGCTTCATTTAGGTTTGTAAGTTGAAAATCATACATCTGAATTAGTTAGCAGATGATAATTCCAGAGAGAGAAAGAGAGATCTGCGTATTAAATTAGATGCATACATCAATATGTAAAGCTGTATCTCTATATATAATTACTTAGGGATATAAAAGCAGTGGCCACTTTGGGATTGAAATGGCATAAACAACCAAAACATGGTTGAAAAGCGATAAATAGTACATGCTAGCTTCTGTGGTTCTCTGTTCAAAAATCATACAAAAGCCATATATTAAAAGTTGTATTAAAATACATTTATTAGAGAAGGTTGTAAAGGGAAATGAAAGTTATAGATGACAATAGATGTGGATTTTGTAATGTTTTGAATTCCTTTTAAAGAAAAAACAATTTGCAGAGAATGTAATGGAAGAAATACTATAGTACCTGTGACGTTAACACAGACTACATTTAGAATGATCCATATGCTTTTATGTCTACACATAAAGTCCCCCCCCCCCTTTGAGAGAGAGAATAAAAACAAAAGCTATCCTGACTTGATAGTTTAGGACAGGAGGTAAAATCAAAGCAACATCTAATGCCCTGTTAAAATGAAAGATAACGGGTAATGTCTTAACAAAGAAAAATAGTTTGGCTCTTAGAAGTCACTTTATACTTATCAACAGAGCAATCAGAATTATTTGGGATAGTTAATGACAACTCTGATACAGAGTTATTTGTAATATCCATATTAGAGTGAATGATGGATAATATTAATTCCTACTTGCATCACAAGACCATCTTCATTTGCAGCACATTATGTTGGTTGGCTAATTCGATGTCCATTTACATTGTGATGTATCCATGTCCTGGTTCACCCCTTCACTCAGTTCATCACAGTTGCTGTATTATCTGGCCAGTATACATAAAGGCCAGATGTCTGGATCAATCCCTTTCTCTTGGCTGTGCCACAAATGGAAGTACGTTTGTGCACATGGAACAGTACTTTCATATGCTCTTTACATGGCTTAGGGTGTAATGAATGAGAGGTAGGCAATCACAGACCCCATACTTTAGGCTTGAATTCTGCCCTTCCCAAAGACTTTCACAAAATCATAGAGTTGGAAGACGCATGAAGGTAATCTAGTCCAATCCCTGTTCGAGTCAGGATTTACAATGTAGGATTTATTTATAGCATCCTTAGCAGATAGTTAAAATATATGAGTAATTATATCTCCCATGCTAGTCAGTATTGCAACTGAACCCCAAATTTGGTAGTCATTTGGTACATGACTACCAAATTGTCTTTTAAAAGGTACTTTCAGAAGTATATTACTTCCTTAGTTCAAACAAATTGAAATCTGTATTGTAGATAATTACAATTCGATTTTTGTTGTATAAAACTAGATTGTTCCTGCTCAGTTGTTCCAAATCTAGGGAACAGAGTGGCACTGAAAGCTCTGTGAATGTAATTCACATACAGTATATATTCAATATATTGCTTAGCCATTTTTCATATCTTAAGGTGGCTAATATAAAACACATAATCATTGATTTCAAGTCCATAGAATCATAAATAATACTTAAATTTGTTTAAAGAACTAATGAAAATAAGCCACATTAAAACTGAAATATTCAGTAATAACAGCATGAATAGAATAAATGTATGGCAGGTTAATAAGGGTATAGGTGGTCCTTCAGGTATCATGGGCTCTTGATTAAAGTTTATTCCAGAATTTTGAAGTGACCCTGAAAACACACCACTAGTCAGTACAACTCGCACAAAATTGGAGAACCATAATCTTACTGTGTATCCCCAAGTGAGTATCAGCCAATGTTTCCAAATATGCAGAGTGTCTAATGTTACTAGAGTGCATAATGCACACATAACTGGGAATAGATCTCTTTCCTGGTTATAAGTTTACAGGTGATGTGTTATTCAAAGTTGTTGAAGCAAAGTTTTGTTTCCACACCACAGTTTTGAATCCAAAA